ATTAAAGATCATTTTGATAAAGAGCTACATAAGCAATATAGAAGCAAGGCATTACATTAATATGGAGATAGAGATTCTGAAAAACAAAACAAAACAAACAGAAATCCTTGAAATGAAGAAAACATAAACCAAATTAAAAACTCAATAGAAATCATCACCAACAGATTAAATCAGTCAGAAGACAGAACCTCAGACAATGAAGACAAAGTATATAATCCTTAAAATAAAGTCAACCACACAGTGAAAATGGCAAAAAACCATAAGCAGAACATTCAAGAATTATGGGATATCATAAAAAGACCAAATTTGAAATTATTGGAATAGAGAAAGGCATAGACTTACAAACCAAAAACAATCTATTCAATGAAATAACAATCTATTCAATGAAAAATTTCTGACTAAAAATTTTTCAAAACATGATGAATAAATTGGAAAATCAAATACAAGAGACTTAAAGAACACCAAATGTGCAAAATCACAACAGATCTACACAAAGTCACATTATAATGAAAATGCCCAGCATACAGAATAAGGAGAAAATTTTAAAAGCCGCAAGAGAAAGGAATCAGATTACATATAGGGGAAAACCAATTATAATCTTTGCAGAGTTTTCAAGCCAGACCCCGAAAGCTAGAAGATCCTGAAACAACATATACCAAGCTCTGAAAGAAAATGGATGCCAATGAAGAATCTTATATCCAATAAAATTAAGCTTTAGATTTGATGATTAAATAAAAACATTCCATGATATACAAAAGTTAAAAGAATTTACAACTAGAGAGCCTGCACTACAGAACATCTGTGGCAAAATATTTCATGAGGAGGAAATAAAAAAAAGAAAATCAACAAAGGGAGGTATTACACTAAAGAAAAAAATCAATCAAATGAGAAATCAAGTTAAATTAAAATACAAAAATGACCAGGAACACAAACTAGGTCTCAATAAAAACCCTGAATGTTAATGGCCTAAACTTATCAATCAAGAGACATATACTGGCAGATTGGATTTAAAAAAAAAAAAAAGACCCAACAATATGCTGTCTTCAAGAGACTCATCTCATAAGAAAAGAAATCCAGACTGAAGATGAAAGGTTGGGACAAAACATACCACTCACATGGACTGTGTAAGCAAGCAGGGGTTTCCATCCTCATATCAAATAAAGTAGATGTCAAGCCAAAGTTACCCAAAAGGGATAAAGAAGGTCATTTCATATGGCTTAAAGAAACTATCCATCAAAAAGACATAACAATTATAAGTATATGTGCCCCAAACAATGGGGCATCTACATTCATCAAACAAACTCTTCTCAATTTCAAGAGTCAAACAGACCACAACACAACAATACTGGGTGACTTTAACATACCTCTTTCACCACTGGATAGGTCTTCAAGACAAAAGCTAAACAAAAAAAGTATAGAACTCAATAATACAACCAATAACTTAGACATAACAGATATATAGAATATTTTATCCATAAATGAGTGAATATACTTGCTTTTCAACAGCACATAGATCCTTCTCGAAAATAGACCACATATTATGCCACAAAGCAACTCTTAGCAAATACAAAAACATAGGGATAGTACCCAGCATTCTATCAGATCATAATGTAATGAAATTACAAATCAACAAAACAAACAAACAATAGAAGCTACTCCAACACCTGGAGACTAAATAATATGTAATTAAATGAAGAATGGGTTGCAGAAGACATCAAAGAGAAGATTAAAAAATTCCTAGAGATAAATAAGAACAATGATATAACATATCAAAATCTTTGGGACACTATGAAGGCAGTAGTAAGAGGAAAGTTCATTAAGTAGTAAGAGGAAAGTTCATTAAGTTTATTCCTTAAAAGAAGAAAAATATCAACAAACAAATCACCTAACATTACACCTCAAAGCCCTAGAAAAAGAATAAAACAACACCCAAAGCAATAAAAGACAGGGGATAATTAAAATCAAGGTTGAAATCAATGAAATTGAAACAAAAGAAACAATTTTTAAAAATTGACAAAATGAAAAGTTGGTTCTTTGAAAAAATAAGTAAAATTTATAAACCCTCAGCCATGCTAATGAATAGAAGGAGAAAACTCAAATTACTAAAACCTGTGATACAAAAGAAAATATCATGACAGATACTACAGAAATTCAGAAGATAATTAGAAATTATTTAAAAAATTTGTACTCCAGTAAAATAGAAAATATTGAAGACATCAACAAATTTCTAGAGTCATATGATTTACATAAACTAAATCAGGACATTATACACAAGTTAAATCAGTTTCAAGCAATGATATAGAAGATGCCATCAAAAGCCTACCAACCAAGAAAAGCCCAAGACTAGATGGATTCAGAGCTGAGTTCTACAAGACCTTCAGAGAAGAACTAATACTAATACTCCTCAAATTATTCCATGAAATAGAAAAAAGAGAGAACACTTCCAAACTCATTCTATGAGGTCAATATCACCAGTTCTAAAACCAGGCAAAAACATATCAAGGAAAGAAAACTTCAGATTAATATCTCTTATGAACACAGATGCAAAAATTCTCAATAAAATTCTGGCAAATTGAAAGCAAAAACATATTAGCAAGATAGTACACCACTATCAAGTGGGGTTCATCCCTGGGATTAAAGCTTGATTCAACATATGAAAATCAATAAATGTAATTTATGACATCAATGGACTTAAAGACAAGAATTGTAATGATCATCTCAATAGATGCAGAAAAAGCATTCAACAAAATACAGCACTGCTTCACTTTCAAAACACTAGAAAAAATAAAATAATAAGAACGTATCTCAATATTGTAAAAGCTATCTATGCTAAGCCTAAGGCCAACATCATTCTAAATGGAGAAAGATTGAAAGCATTCCCTCTAAAAACTGGAACAAGGCAGGGATGCCCTTTTCTACCACCTCTATTTAACATAGTTCTTGAAACTCTAGCCAGAGGAATTAGTCAGATGAAAGAAATTAAAGGATATGGATAGGAAAAGAAGCAAACTATCACTATTTGCCAATGATATGATTCTAATAGGATTTGAAAAATTCCACCAGAAAACTTCTAGAACTAATAAATGAATTTAGCAAAATAGCAGGATATAAAATTAAGATCCATAAAAAATGCATTTATATACACCAGTAACAAATCCACTGAAAGAGAAACTAGAAAAACTACCCCATTTATAATAGCCTCAAAACAAACAAAACCCAGGGAATCAATTTAACGAAAGAGGTAAATGATGTTTATAATGAAAATTACAGAATGCTAAAGAAAAAAAATTAAAGAAGACCTTAGAACATAGAAAGATCTCCCTTGTTCTTGAACAGGCAGAATTAATATTGTCAAAATGACCATACCACCAAAAGCACTATACAAACTTAATGCAATTTCAATCAAAATCCCAATGACATTCCTTATAGAAATAGAAAAAGCAATCATGAAATTCATCTGGAAAAATAAGAGACCCAGAATAGTCAAAGAAATCCTTAACAAGAAAAGTGAAGAAGTGAGGCAGGTGGCATCACAATACCATTCGTTAAACTATATTACAGTGCAGTAGTAAGAAAAACAGCATGTAATCACACCAAAATAGACTTGTAAATCAATGGTACAGAACAGAGGACACAGAGACAAATCCACATAAATACAGTTATCTCACACTAGACAAAGGTGCCAAAAACATATATTGGGGAAAAGATAGCCTCTTCAACAATCAGTGCTGGGAAAACTGGAAATCCATATGCAGCAAAATGAAATTAAACCTCTATCTCTCACCATGCACAAAACTCAACTCAAAGTGGATCAAAGACCTAGAATTAGGTCAGAGACCCTGTGTCTTATAGAAGAAAAAGTAGGCCCAAATCTTTATCATGCCAGATTAGGCCACTACTTCCTTACAAGACTCCTAAAGCACTAGAAATAAAATCAAGAATCAATAAATGGAATGAATTCAAACTGAAAATCTTCTTCTAGCAAAGAAAACAATCAGTGAGGTGAACAGAAAGCTTACAGAATGAGAGCAATTTCTTACCACTTGCACATCAGATAGAGAACTAATATCCAGGATATATAAAGAACATAAAAATCTTAACACTAAAAAACAAATGAACCAATCAATAAATGGACTAAAGAACTGAACAGATACTTCTCAAAAGATGATATACAATTGATTAACAAATATATTTTAAAAAGTTCAACATCTCTAGCAATTAGAGAAATGAAAATCAAAACTACTCTAAGATTTTCCCTCACTCCAGCCAGAATGGCAGCTATTAAGAATACAAAGAACAAATAGTGTTGGTGAGGATGTGGGGGTAAAGGCACATTCATACATTGCTGGTGGGACTGCAAATTGGTGCAACCAATATGAAAAGCAATATGGAGAATCTTTGGAAAACTGGGAATGAAACCACCATTTGGCCCAGCTAGCATACTCCTTAGTTTATACCCAAAGGACTTAAAAATAGCATACTACAGGGAGGTAGCCACATCAAGTGTTTATAGCAGCACAATTCACAATAGCTAAATTGTGGGACTAACCCAGATGTCATTCAATAGATGAGTGGATAAAGAAATTGTGGTATATATACACAGTGGAATATTATTTAGCATTAAAAGAGAATAAAATCATGGCATTTGCAGGTAAATGGATGGAGAATGTCATGCTAAGTAAAGTAAACCAATCTCAAAAAAACCACAGGCCAAATGTTTTCTCTGATAAGTGTATGCTGATCCATAATGGGGATGGGAGAGCATGGGAGAAATGGAGGAAGTTCAAATGGGGCAAAGGGGAAGGAGGGGAAGGGGGGGCATGGGGATAGAAAAGATGGTGGAATGAGATGGAGATCATTACCCCAGATACTTGTATAAAGACACGAATGATGTGACTCTACTTTGTACACAACCAGAGAAATGAAAAATTGTACTCCATTTGTGTACTAAGAACTGAAATGCATTCTGCTGTTATGGATAACAAATTTGAACAAACAAATAAATTAATAAATTTTTAAAAAATTACACACACATTATTACTATTTCCACAGTTCTCTTGCCCAGAAAAGTTATAATTAGATTGCAATGTTTTATATCCAAGTTAATTTAAATGAAATCAAAGTTTGTGGGTGTTTTGTTGACCCACAGTGCTAACACATGGAGGAAGTATAGGATAATTTTTGTGTGTTTTTGGTGTTCATTTGAATCAAATTTTGTGTTTCTGTGTGGAGACATGTGCTACTGTACCTGTAAGACCTAAAAAGGGACAGGTTTAGTTTACAATATAAGGACTGAGATGTACAGATGTACTGGGAAAGCATGCCATATACTATCTATCCTACAATCTGTAATAGCCCTTATATATTATAAAGTAGAATAAAAGAGGTCTCTAAAATCAAAAGATACCTAATAAAATAAATTGTAGGAGTTTAAAATGTCTATGTAATTTTAAACTTTTTTTCTGGTCATATTTCCTTGTGGGGTGTCCAAGACTAAACAGGTGGTCCTATTCTGGGCTGTTTTTCTAAATTTTTGGAGGCCAGTCAGGAGTTACTCTTATTTAGTTTATGAGGAATGCTTGTCTTCCTCAGTCTTTTTTCTCTACCGAACATGCCAAGAGCCATGATAGGCCAGTTTCTTGTTGACCACAGGATTTCCCATGCAAGCACTGAGAATCTCTCTCTCTTCAATGACTCCTCTAAACAAAATATGCACTGTAGGATCCTAGTCTCTGGGGTGTTCATAATTCACCTGATTGGGAGATTTTATGACTTTCCAGAGATGCCCAGCCTTTAGGAGTACTGTCATTCTATAAGGTAAGATATTAATATTGTAATTCAAAATATAAAGATCTAGGGCTCATTTTCATATCTCAATATCATTCTTATAACTCTCTTAATATCTCCACAAACACAAACAGAAAAACTATAACAATTTGATTTATGCAAATTATATTTCCCAAATAAGTTTGATTAATGTGTTAAATAATTAAGAGATGTTACAGTACTATTTTCCCAATAGTATGTCTGCTACATAAATCCCTTAGTCAAGTGGAAAACTGTGATATCTTTGAGATAATGACATGATTCAATACATGACAGTGTTAACATATTAACATTCACTTATATTCATTAACATGTTGCATACATAGTGTGAATATAGGTAAAAATGCACTGTAAACTGGCCATGGTGGTCCGTGCCTGTAACCCAAGCACATTGGCAAGCTGAGGAAAAATTTTCACAAGTTCAAAGTCAGCCTTAGCAACTTAATGAGGTTTTAGGCAACTTAGCAGACCCTGCTTCAAAATTTAAAAGGGCCAGGGGGGAAGACTGGGAATGTGGCTCAGTGGTTAAGCATCCTTTAATTTAACCCACAGTACAATAAATAAAGTTTAAAACATTAAAATTTAATGTAAAGCCTCTTATAATTGTTTCTTATAATTTTTTTTCCAGTATTCAAAAGTACAAATATTCAGTAATCTTTGATTTATAAGAAATGTGTATCCTTTCAAAGATGAGCTATTTGCATTCTGGATGTATAATATTTACAATGATTTTCTTATTTCTCCATATCTCCTAATAATAATTAATAAATTTTAAGCAAATGTTGAAGCCAGTTGCTCATTTTCTATATTTAAATGATTTTCTCTTTTACTGACTCTCAAATATATCAAGTTATGAGGTATGGATAAGGACTTTACTATACTTCTTTTATACTTGTCAAGTTTTTTTATTGTAAATATTTTGCTGTTATATACAACACATATTTTGGACAAATGCTGTTTAACCTTCACTACAGGTATAAGGTTTCAGATGTTCAATAAATTTGAAATTTAAATAAAGGCTTGGGAACATTATTTAACTTTTTAAGATTGCTAAGCACTATGAATTCTCCAAAGTTCAATAGTGTCTGAGCAATGGCTATGAGTTTTAAAACAATTTTTTCCACTCATACTCTCTCCTACTAGTATGTTTTCTCAGGTGCTGAGTAAGGGGTGACCAACTGTTAGAGACATTTTTACATTGTCACAGTTTTTCATTTGACTAATTTTTCTCTGCTGCAATTGCTCTGGTGTGGAATAAATTTTGACCCACCCTTGAAGAAACGGCATAATGTTATCATTTGTAGATCTCATCTCAAATATGAATTCTCTGATGTCTAGTAAGGTTTGATGGATGATTAAAAGTTTTGCCACATTCTTTGCATTTGTAAGCCTCTCCAATATGAATTCTGCTGTGGTAATTAAGGGCTGATTTTTGACTATAAACTTTGCCACATTCTTCACATTTGTAGGGCTTCTCTCCAGTATGAATTCTGCTGTGATAAATAAGGCTAGTTTTTCGATTAAAAGCTTTGCCACATACTTTGCATTGATAGGGCTTCTCTCCACTATGAATTCTCTGATGGCGAACAAGGCTTGATTTTTTGCTAAAACCTTTGTCACATTCTGTACATTTGTAGGGCTGCTCTCCAGTATGAAGTCTGCTGTGGCAAACAAGGCTTGATTTTTCATTAAAAGCTTTGTCACATTCTGTACATTTGTAGGGCTTCTCTCCAGTATGAATCCTCAGGTGGGGAATTAGGTATGCTTTTTTAATAAAATCTTTGCCACATTCTTTACATTTGTAGGGATTCTCACCAGTATGAATTTTGCTGTGGTAAGTAAGGTTTGATTTGTCATTAAAAGCTTTGTCACATTCTTTACATTTGTAGGGCTTCTCTCCAGTATGAATTCTGCTGTGGCGAATAAAGCTACTTTTTCGATTAAAAGCTTTGTCACATACTTTGCATTGGTAGGGATTCTCTCCAGTATGAATTCGCTGGTGGCGAATAAGTCTTGATTTTTTACTAAAAGCTTTGTCACATTCTGTACATTTGTAGAGCTTCTCACCAGTATGAATTCTGCTATGATAAATAAGGTGCATTTTTTTAATGAAAGATTTGCTACATTCTGTACATTTGTAGGGCTTCTCTCCAGTATGAATTTTCTGGTGGTGAATAAGGTGTGTTTTTTTAATGAATGCTTTACCACATTCTTTACATTGGTAGGGCTTCTTTCCAGTGTGAATTCTCTGATGGCAAATAAGGTGAGATTTTTCATTAAAAACTTTCTCACATTCTTTAAATTTGTAGGGCTTCTCTTCAATATGAATTCTATGGTTGTGAATAAGGGCTGACTTTTGATAATATAATGTCTGATGTTCATTCTCACTTACAATTTTCCATATTTTTCTTTGTTGTGAATCGTCAAGTTCATAATTTCCATATTTTCCATTTATTACTTTTTGAAATATATGTTTTATGCCCTGTTCTTGTGAAAATTCTTGCATATAATGAGAAGCCATGCCTGAAATAAACCAATATAGAAATTATTTTACTTACTAGACTGGGATGAATATATTTTTCATAGATAAGATATGAAATTATCACAATGTAAGGAAATCAGTGGGATAGCATATTAGTAAATCGAAGGTCATCATTACTCCAGAAATATATAAGTAAAAATGTACAAACAAAAATTACCTTGTGAAAATTACTCAAACTATTGTAGAGATCATAGTATCCAAGATGAGTATATTACTAAGGAGAATAATAGAGAGAAAAAAATGTAAATTTTTCCAAATACAGCTTCTCCACAATATAGCATTGTGCAATTAGAAAAAATCCACCACCAACCTTCATTCTCAGTAGAATAAGAAAAATATAAAAGACACACAAGCATTTGTGGCTTTCTTGAAGTGTTTGAAAACTACTTTCCATCTACCATGACAGAGAGATCTGGAAATAACAGATAGATTTTGGATGATAATACCACAGTTATCCAACAAGAGCAAAGAGACTATGGACTCTTAAAAAAATAAGGACAAATTTTTTAATAAGAAAAATACACACATATGTCTAGAAAATTCTCCATGAAAACTAGTTTGGGAGGGAATAAAAACCTTACACAGCCTACATCCATATTATTTGGATGAAGCCAACATGGCACTCAAAACTAAAAAGTTGTTTTTTATGTTTTTTAATTTGTGTTATTTGCTGATTTGTTTTATTGAAAAATTCAACTTTGTGTATTTGCTAATTATATCATGGTATTTTAAGGTATATACATATAAAGCGAAATGACTAAATGAAGTGAATTACTACATGCATTATTTCATATATTTATCAGTTTTGTGCTTACAAAGTATTGCATTCATTCTATTAGTACTTACTAAGAACATAACATACTCACCATGTGATAAAAAAATACTCTTGACCTTCTTATGCCCATTCAAATAAAAATTTCTAAACTTTGACTAACAATATGCCAACACTCCACAAAACACAGTACCTGGTCACCACAATTTTACTCTGTGGATTTCTGACTTCCACATGTTAGTCAAATTTTCCTGCAACTGACTTTCTGTATCTGCCTTATTTCACTTAATGCAAAGTCCTGCATATTCATCCTATGTTCCTTTAAATGGCAAGATATTTTTATATCTAAATAGCAATGGCATATAAATACCACAATTTTACTAACTTGATCATTGATGAGATCATATCTTGAGACCATATCTTGAATATTGATGAGATCATATCTTGAGACCATATCTTGAATATTGAGAACAATGTTTTCTGTATCATGAGGTCATTCTACTTTTAATTATTTATGTGTTGTGCTTGGGATTAAGCCCAAGGGTTCTATACTACTAAACTACAACACAGCTTTTAAAATTGTTTCAGACATGATGTTCCTAAATTTCTGTGACTTGCCTCAAAATTGAAATCTTTTGCATGGCCTCCAATTAGCTATGATTACAAGCTTGTAGCACTATACTTGCCTTTTAAAATTTATTTTAAAACTATTTTCCACAAGGAATATATAATCTACTATTGTCTGTTTTTTTTTAATGGACAAATCAATTAACAATAGTACAGCACATAAAGATAAAGGAAACCGTGGTTTAATCAAAGTAACAACAACAACAACAACAATAACAAAAACCCCAAAACATTAGGAATTGAACATTAGGATAGTGAGAGTCATAAATTACCCAAACTACACTAAGTAAACATTGAAGGGAGATTAGATAACTAAATTTAGACAAAGATTGTTAATATAAATAAGCAGAAATTGTGAATGTGAATAATTCCTCAAGAAAAAAAAAATGTCTGAAAGAGGCATTCATGGTGTGTAAAGCTGTAATCTTAGCAATCTGGGAGAGGCTGAGCAGAAAGACCATAAGCTCAAGTCCAGTTTTAGCAACATAGTGAGATCCTGTGCAAAATTAAAAACCTATAGAATATGTAAAGGAAAGTGGTAGAGAAATTCAAGTATGCCACTATGAAAAGTGACAAGCCACAGGTTAAAGCATTAAGCAAAGTAGGAAAAACAATTATAAGAAATATAGAAAACAACTTTCAAAGTAACAGTAGCAAGTTCTTCACTTTTAAAAATTCATTTGATTATTAATGCATTATTACAAGCCACAAATCAAAAGGAAAAGCTTTACTAACAAAATTAGATCTAAAAAGGAAAAAGGAATTGCTGAATTAATTCCACAGAGTGTTGTACAAAATGGAGCATGGCCTGCTCCCTAGGGTGCTCAGGGGTGCTCTAGCCCCAGGCTAGTGAGGAGCTGGGGAGCCCAGGAAAGCCTACAGTTTCTGCCCTGCAGACCCCTGGAGCTCCCAGTGTTACTGTCCACTGGTTGGCCAAGGCTGTGAGGAATCTGAGAGCCTGTCCCCCTGCCTGGATGACCTGATAATGGCAATGATCTACAGAACCTCAGACCCAGGATCTCTGGGCTGCCAAATCTCCTGGCCCAATCCTGTCCATCCTAGGCAAAGCCAGCACTGAGAAAATGGCCACTCTGTATGGTGGGAGCATAGCATGTCAAGAAGAATGGTGGCCAACCAAATGCCTAGAGGCCATCGGGGGCTTTGAGGGCCTAAGAAGGTGAGTGGATGATGGATTCTGCAGCCAATCAGCACAGACGAGGGCTCTCAGTGACCACTCCAGGAGGGCTCCACGAGAACACAACTTGTCCTGACAAGGCAAACAAAGGCCTTATCCACCCTGGAATTGAGTGAAGCCCTGGAGCATGATGGGTGGAAGGGTGGACACCCTTGGGTATTTGGTGTTATTCAACCAAAGAGAGAAACTGTAGGGTAACATACTATATTCGATCAATTGAAAATGTCTACCACACTTCAGGTAGATTCACGGGCCTGTTGTACAAGGCCTGTGTATATAATATGAAAAAGCTGTTCTCAAACTTTTAAAACTTTTGCCACATCTGGACATTCATTTTTTTTTGAGAGAGAGAGAGAGAGAAGAGAGATATAGATAGAATTTTTCAGTTTTTGGTGGACACAACATCTGTATTTTATTTTATGTGGTGCTGAGGATCGAGCCCAGCGCCCTGTGCATGCCAGGCAAGCGCATCACTGCTTGAGCCACATCCCCAGGCCACACATCTGGGCATTCTAAATGTAAATAGTTTGACAACATATAATAGAGTTACATAATAATGTCTTGAAAATGGCCATTTGTTTTAAAAAATCAGAAACATCTTCTGGAATTGACCTTGAAATGGAGTTTTTTTTTTTTTTTTTTT